TCTTCTTGAGTAATGCTTTATTTATTCAGGGCCTCTTCCCTTTCCAAGTGAAGTTGGTGATTTGTTTCTCCATCTCATTAAAAAATGTTGGTGGAATTTGGATCGGGATTGCATTGTATCTGTAGGCTGCTTTGGGTAGAATTGACATTTTCATGATGTTGAGTCTACCTATCCATGAGCAAGGTATGTTTTTCCACTTACCCAGGTCTGTTTTGGTTTCTTGCAGTAGTGTCTTGTAGTTTCATTGTATAGATCTTTTACGTCTCTGGTTAGATTTATTCCTAAGTATTGTATCTTCTTGGGGGCTATTATAAATGGTATTGATTTGGTGAATTCCTCTTCGAGGTTCTCTTTGTTGGTGTAAAGGAGTCCAACTGATTTTTGTATGTTTATCTTGTAACCTGAAACTTTGCTGAAATCTTCTATTAGTTCCAGTAGTTTTCTTGTGGATTTTTTAGGGTTTTCTTTGTGTAAGATCATATCATCTGCAAATAGAGATACTTTGATTTCTTCGGTACCAATTTGGATGTCCTTTATTTCTTTTTCTAGCCTAATTGCTCTGGCTAGCACCTCCAGCACAATGTCAAATAACGGTGACAAAGGGCATCCTTGTCTGGTTCTTGTTCTCAGGCGGAATGCTTTCAAAGTCTCTCCATTTAGGATGATGTTGGCTGTTGGCTTTGTATAAATGCCCTTAATTATATTGAGGAATTTCCCTTCTATTCCTATTTTGTTGAGAGTTTTTATCAAGAATGGGTGTTGGACTTTGTCCAATGCCTTTTCTGCATCAATTGATAAGATCATGAGGTTCTTGTCTCTTGTTTTATTTATGCGATGCATTACATTGATTGTTTTTCTAATGTTGACCCATCCTTGCATACTTGGTCTAAATCCCACTTGGTCATGGTGAATTATTTTTTTGATATGTCGCTGAATTCTCTTGGCTAGAATTTTGTTGAGAATTTTTGCGTCAACGTTCATGAGGGATATTGATCTATAATTTTTTTTTTATTGTACTTTAGGTGAAGGTTTACAGAACATTTTCTCATTAAACAGTCAGTACACATATTGTTTTATGACATTGCTTAACAACTGCACGACATGTCAACCCTCTCCCTTCTGGACCGTTTTTTTTTTTTGGTGAAAATATACATAGCCAAAGATACACCATTTCAAAAATTTCTACATGCAGAATTCAGTGACATCGATTACATTCTTCCAGTTGTGCTGCTATTCTCACTTTAGATGAAGGTTTACAACATAAAATATTTTCTCATTAAACAGTACACATGTTGCCCTATGACCATGGTTAATAACCCCACTACATGTCAACACAGTACTTACTCAACCTTGGGTTCCCTATCACCTGCTTTCCTGTCCCCTTCTGCCTTCTAGTCCTTGTCCCTGGACTGCTGTGCCTCATTAGTCCTGTTTTGTTTTATGGGGCTGTCCAATCCC